TGACATGGGAACTAGAGAGCAGAAGGTCTTGGGAGGATCGAGGAGAGTGGTTTGGTTGATATTTTATGATCATGTTGGTGATGTAGCAGGGGGCAGAGTTGTGGACGGCTTTGTAAGTTTTTAGTATTTTGAATTTTATTCGTTGGGCAAGTGGAAGCCAGTGGAGGGATTGGCAGAGAGGGGTGGAGGACACTGAGTGGAAGCCAGTTGAGGGATTGGCAGAGAGGGATGGAGGACACTGAGTGGAGGTCATTGGAGGGATTGGCAGAGAGGGTGGAGGACACTGGGTGGAGGCCAGTGGAGGGATTGGCAGAGAGGGTTGGAGGACACTGAGTGGAGGTCAGTGGAGGGATTGGCAGAGAGGGTTGGAGGACACTGAGTGGAGGTCAGTGGAGGGATTGGCAGAGAGGGTGGAGGACATGGGTGGAGGCCAGTGGAGGGATTGGCAGAGGGTTGGAGGACACTGAGTGGAGGTCAGTGGAGAGATTGGCAGAGAGGGGTGGAGGACACTGAATGGAGGTCAGTGGAGGGATTGGCAGAGAGGGTTGAAGGACACTGAGCGGAGGTCAGTGGAGAGATTGGCAGAGAGGGGTGGAGGACACTGAGTGGAGGGATTGGCAGAGAGGGGGCAGAGGACACTGAGTGGAGGTCAGTGGATAGATTGGCAGAGAGGGGTGGAGGACACTGAGTGGAGGTCAGTGGAGGGATTGGCAGGGGGGGAGGGGGAGGACACTGAGTGGAGGACAGTGGAAGGGTTGGCAGAGAGGGGTGGAGGACACTGAGTGGAGGTCAGTGTGGATTGGGATTGGCAGAGAGGGGTGGAGGACACTGAACGGTTGGTAAGGTGGATGAGCCTGGCAGCACCATTCATGATGGACTGGAGGGGTGTGGCCTATGTAAAGGTAACCCAATGAGGAGGAGGGAGTTGCAGTAGTCGAGGTGAGAGATAACCAGGGAGTGAATTAGGAGCTTTGTGGTATTCATTGGTTAAAAAGGGGCGTATTCTGGAGATGTCACGGAGGTTGAGGCGGCATGATTTGGACAGGGATTGGATGTGGGCCTGAAAGGATAGTTCAGAATCTGGGGTTACCCCTAGCACCCTGGCATGCAGGGATGGCTTTATAGTGGTGCTATTGATCCTGACTGAGAGGGGAAGAGGCACGTGGGGGAGGAAATATTATGAGCTCAGTTTTGGATAGATTGAGTTGTAGGAAGTTTAGTGACATCCAGTCTGATATGTCTGTTAGTAAATCGGTGATACTTGAGGAATCTGATGGGGTGAGCTGAGAGTAGAGAGATACATTTGTGTGGTGTCAGCATAGAAATGGTATTGGAAACCATGGGAAGCTATCAGCTGACCCCAGGAAGAAGTGTAGATGGAGAATAGTAGAGGTCCAAGGACAGAACCTTGGGGGACCCCAACAGTAAGAGGACTAGGAGAGGAGGAAGTAGAGTTGTCAGTGACACTGGAGGTGCGGTGAGATAGGTAAGATTCAAACCAACGGAGAGTACAGTCACGGAGACCAAGTGAATAGAGTTGTTTGAGGAGGAGGGGGTGGTCAACTGTATCAAAGGCAGCGGAGAGGTCCAAGAGTACGGAATAGTGACCATTGGTTTTAGCTGTTAATAAGTCGTTTGTGAGTGAGTTTAGAAGAGTTTGTGGGAGTGTTGTGGGCAAAATCCAGACTGGAGGGGATCGAGAAGGTTATTTTCAATAAGGTGACAGCTCAGCCGGTTGTAGACTAGATGTTCAAGGAGTTTGGAGGCAAAAGGGAGTAAGGAGATGGGTATTAGGTTGCCAAGACTGGCGGGGTCCAGTGAGGCCTTTTTAAGTATGGGGGTGACTAGCACATGCATTATTAAACACTTCCTGTCCGGCCCATTGCCGATAAATGGGCATACGGGAGCGCTGCCGATGCGTGTGGACATTTCTAAACTTCCCCCCACATCCATTGTCTGTGCGTGGCACAGCGATCGGAGCCCGCTGTGTCCTCCTCTGTGTGAGGTCCCGATCATGTGATCACTGATTGGCCAATCAGTGATCACATGAATAGTAGTAATTAAGATGTCACTTCCAGACATCATTGCTTACTACGTGTGAAATCTGTGAATGATCACAGAGGTCACATGGCACAGGGCCATTCACAACAGCCTTGCACCATGTGACAAGCTGTGACCAATCACAGCTCTCACACTATTTCTCAATGGCTGCAGGAATGCAGCCAGAGAGAAGGAGAAATGATTGCTTTTACAGCCTTTATGGGTGTAAAAGCAATTAGTGTAAAAAAAAAAAATCTTCATCACCCCCCACTATGATGACACTGTACTGCTAGGGTGACAGTATGTTAAAAAAAACCCACATAAAATAGTAATAAAAAAAAAATTAAATTATAATTTTTGGTTATAAACTAATTTGGGTTATTTATTGTTAATAAAAAGACAGCTGAATACATTTTGGCCAAGATTTATGACAAAAGATTATTTATTTGCAAAATTTTATAAGAAAAATTTTTTTTTTTCAAAATTTTTGGTCTGTTTCATTTATATAGCAAAAAAAATAAAAATCCCAGCAGTGAATAAATACCACCAAAATAAAGCTTTATCTGTCTCAAAAAAATGCTAAAATTGTCATACGGGTCCAGTGTTGCATGACCGCGCAATTGTCATTCAAAGTGTGATAGCGCTAAAAGCTGAAAATTGGCCTGGACAGGAAGGGGGGGAAAGTGTCCGGACTGGAAAGGGGGGAAAGTGTCCGGACTGGAAGGGGGTGAAAGTGTCCGGACTGGAAAGGGGGGAAAGTGTCCGGACTGGAAGGGGGTGAAAGTGTCCGGACTGGAAAGGGGGGAAAGTGTCCGGACTGGAAGGGGGTGTGAAAGTGTCCGGACTGGAAGGGGGTGAAAGTGTCCAGACTGGAAGGGGGGGAAAGTGTCCGGACTGGAAGCCGGTGAAAGTGTCCAGGACTGGAAGGGGGTGAAAGTGTCCGGACTGGAAGCCGGTGAAAGTGTCCAGACTGGAAGGGGGTGAAAGTGTCCGGACTGGAAGGGGGTGAAAGTATCCGGACAGAAAGGGGGTGAAAGTGTCCGGACTGGAAGGGGGTGAAAGTGTCCGGACTGGGAAGGGGGTGAAAGTGTCCGGACTGGAAGGGGGTGAAAGTGTCCGGACTGGAAGGGGGTGAAAAATGTCCGGACTGGAAGGGGGGGGGGGGGAGAAGTGTCCAGACTGGAAGGGGGTGAAAGTGTCCAGACTGGAAGGGGGTGAAAGTGTCCCAGACTGGAAGGGGGTGAAAGTGTCCAGACTGGAAGGGGGTGAAAGTATCCGGACAGAAAGAGGGTGAAAGTGTCCGGACTGGAAGGGGGGGAAGAAAGTGTCCGGACTGGAAGGGGGGGGAATGTGTCCGGACTGGAAGGGGGGTGAAAGTGTCCTGACTTGAAGGGGGTGAAAGTATCCGGACAGAAAGGGGGTGAAAGTGTCCGGACTGGAAGGGGGTGAAAGTATCCGGACAGAAGGGGGGGTGAAAGTGTCCTGGACTGGACTGGAAGGGGGTGAAAGTATCCGGACAGAAAGGGGGTGAAAGTGTCCGGACTGGAAGGGGGTGAAAGTGTCCAGACTGGAAGGGGGGGGGGGGGGAGAAGTGTCCAGACTGGAAGGGGGTGAAAGTGTCCAGACTGGAAGGGGTGAAAGTGTCCAGACTGGAAGGGGGTGAAAGTGTCCAGACTGGAAGGGGGGTGAAAGTATCCGGACAGAAAGGGGGTGAAAGTGTCCGGACTGGAAGGGGGGGGGGGAAGTGTCCGGACTGGAAGGGGGGGAAAGTGTCCGGACTGGAAGGGGGGGGAAAGTGTCCGGACTGGAAGGGGGGGGGAAAGTGTCCGGACTGGAAGGGGGGGAAAGTGTCCGGACTGGAAGGGGGGGGGGAAAGTGTCCGGACTGGAAGGGGGGAAAGAAAGTGTCCTGACTTGAAGGGGGGGGAAAGTATCCGGACAGAAAAGGGGGGGTGAAAGTGTCCGGACTGGAAGGGGGGGGAAAGTATCCGGACAGAAAGGGGGTGAAAGTGTCCGGACTGGAAGGGGGTGAAAGTATCCGGACAGAAAGGGGGTGAAAGTGTCTGGACTGGAAGGGGGTGAAAAGTGTCCCGGACTGGAAGGGGGGGGGGGAAGAAAGTGTCCAGACTGGAAGGGGGGGGGGGAGAAGTGTCCAGACTGGAAGGGGGGGGGGGGAGGAAGTGTCCAGACTGGAAGGGGGTGGGAAAGTGTCCAGACTGGAAGGGGGTGTGAAAGTGTCCAGACTGGAAGGGGGTGAAAGTGTCCAGACTGGAAGGGGGTGAAAGTATCCGGACAGAAAGGGGGTGAAAGTGTCCGGACTGGAAGGGGGGGGGAAAGTGTTGTCCGGACTGGAAGTGGGGGGGAAAGTGTCCGGACTGGAAGGGGGGGGGGAAAGTGTCCGGACTGGAAGGGGGGGGAAAGTGTCCGGACTGGAAGGGGGGGGGGTGGGAAAGTGTCCGGACTGGAAGGGGGGGGGGGGGGGAAAGTGTCCGGACTGGGAAGGGGGGGGAAAGTGTCGGACTGGAAGGGGGGGGGAAAGTGTCCGGACTGGAAGGGGGGGGGAAAGTGTCCGGACTGGAAGGGGGGGGAAAGTGTCCGGACTGGAAGGGGGGGAAGGGGAAAGTGTCCGGACTGGAAGGGGGGTGAAAAGTGTCCTGACTTGAAGGGGGTGAAAGTATCCGAACAGAAAAGGGGTGAAAGTGTTGTCGGACTGGAAGGGGGTTGAAAGTATCGGGACAGAAAGGGGGTGAAAGTGTCTGGATCTGGAAGGGGGTGGAAAAGCGTCCGGACTGGAAGGGGGTGGAAAGCGTCCTGGACTTGAAGTGGGGTGAAAGCGTCCGGACAGGAAGGGGGGTAAAGGCCCACCTGTAGGTAAAAACATAAAAAAAAAAAAAGACTTTACTAGCACTTGAAGCTCTCCATTGGTTTGGTGGTCTCAGACTTTTGTGTGTCCTCTTTCAGTGTCTGTTTCTCGGAGCGGCTGTTTTGGGAGTGGGGAGAAGGCGTCCAGATTCACGACTCTCAGAAGCAGGACCCCGGCACGGACAAGCTCTCTAGAGACGCCGTTCTGGACTTCATTCGCACACACCAGCCTGGCTCCTCGGGGGGCAGAGAGGAGAGGTATAGTCCTAACACAGGGGGGCATCTGTCACACGGAGGTCCTATCCTCCTCCTCTTCCTCCTCCTCCTGGACTTCGGTAAACCTTTTAAGAGACTTGACCCGTGAGCCCCGGAGATTGTGGAGGGATCTCCTATCAACTTCCTTACAGAGGCCTGAATTGCACTGCATAGAGAGAAAAAAAAAGAAAATATATTTTGTTTTGCCCTGGAGTGGCTCCTCTTCTTCTACTTTGTTAACATTCTATTTTTGATATGAAGGGTTGCTTTTATTTTTGACTTTTGATTTTTTTTTTTTTTTTTTTGTTGTGACTGCTGTCACACTGTGGTTTTGAATTGCTAGGTATCTGTAATCTGGTGATTGGACTGAGCCCCAAGTGATGAACAATCGCTGTGTGCGTCCGTAAGTCTGATCCGGTCATTTTCTGTGTCTGGTTGTGATCAAGGATTGGCCCTCTGCAATGCCCCCCTCCCCCCACATCTCATTGTAAAGAGCCATATTGAGTTGTAAAAAGGAGATTCCAGGCTCTTTCTACTGAAGGACACAGCAGTTTGGTCGAAGGGAAAGCAGCACTGGAATATTTTAATCCGCATAAAGGCCTCATTCGTATGGGCACTGACGCCAGCTCATTCAAGTCTATAGGGACGCAGCGGCACGCACGGACACAGTCACAATTTTGACAGCGTGGACTGGAGGAATGCCCCCTACTGGCCATTTTACACTGGCACCTGCGGCTGTCAGAATACTTGAATGGTGGCTGCCCAGTCACAGGCTGGGATGGGTCCAGGATAAAACTGCAGCTTCCTAGACTCCCCCCTTTGATAGATTCTGTCCTCAGGATCGCAACACAGTAAGGAGCAACATGAGAAATGCAATGCAAATGCATTGTGTCCTCAGGATCGCAACACAGTAAGGAGCAAATTGAGAAATGCAATGCAAATGCATTGTGTCCTCAGGATCGCGCAACACAGTAAGGAGCAACATGAGAAATGCATTGTGTGTAGCTGCTGTTCGGCTGACAATTTTCCATCCGGCTCCTTTGATTTTCAGATGAAAGGTTGTTGGCGAGAAGAAAAAAAAAAAGCACTATTCCCAGTGCACAGGTCCCTGAAAAAATGTCTGTAGATGCAAGTGGGTGCTGCAGCAGCGACTATCACCTGGAAATCGAAGATACGCAAAGCGAGAAGTATGTCATCGGCGCACCAGACTAGGATTCAAAGCTTTATTCAGCGATTCGCTTGATAATTACCGAGGCAACGCTTCGGAACCACGCAGGACCCCATTCACCGGGCATGCGCTGATGAAGGGTCCTGCGTGGCTCCCGAAACATTGCCTCTGTAATTATGGCGGTGATCGGCTGACCCGTTCGTTCTGGCGTGCCGGTGACATTCTTCCCCTCTTCGATGTTGACAGGGGCCACCCAAGGATAGAATTTCGGATGGTGAACTGTCCTCTGAGTATGACCAGCTTTGTAAATATTCAAGAAACATTTTGCTGAATACTCAAATACGTCCCCTAAAAAATGGCTGCCGTGTACTGGGGTCAGCCGCTGATATTCCTGTACGCACGTTGTCAGTAAATATTTGATACTCAATAAATCTCAGCAAAGGCTGGGGAGGGGGCGGGAAAACCCTGCGGTTGAGCTGCGCTTTTACAACCTCCCCAATCGCTACCTCCTTGAGCTGCAGAGGCAGCAACCGGGAGGGTGGGGGTGCACATGCCGCAGCAGGAATTATCCATCCTGTCAGTTGAATGGGGCTGTTCTGCAAGTGCCCCCCAATTGTGTGCGACGTACGCAGTTGTGGGCATGCTAGTGCGGGGATTCAAGGGGTTTTTTTATTAAAGCAGGCAAAGCAGTGAGGAGGCGCAAAGCTCGTGTGAATGAGCCCCTAGATCACCTGTGCGTATGAAGGCTTAGAATCGTTGACCTCCAGAATGACTGGCTCCAGGCTTCTACGCGACTCATCCGCCGACATGGACCTCACATCCCAGCGACGGTCGGCTCAGGAGGTATTTGCATGGTTCCTGGCGGACTAATCTGGGAGAATTTTTCTGACCGTAATTTCTTGTTCTTTCTGCATTTAGGCTGGAGGCAGTAGAGTCTGTGGCGTACATAAATATGTAACCGATGTACCAATCATTTGTTCAATGTTCATTCATTGGTCGGATGTCACCTCCGAGGACTCCCCCCCCCCCCCCCCCCCCCCCCCATCGGTTCACACCCAGGTATGACTGTCAGCCCGGGACACCCTGTACATATGTGGCATCTTCGTGTTTTATGCATGTTTGGCTGAGGAACAACAGATTCCTGTGGCAATAAACCACTTTCGTGGACACCATGTGATTATTGTACAGCTCTTTTCATGTCATGCTTTCTTCGGAAGCTGTCTGTGTTCCACCAGCAGTAGGCTTCAGAAGCTGCCTGCGTCCTAGCAACGAAATGACGCTAAGAGGCTTCTTAGCAACGAAGGGTGAGAAGCGGGAAGTTGTGTCGTATCCATTGCACTCCTTACAGCGGGGCTTGACAAATTTGCTTTGAATCTAGGAGCCAGTTTTTTTTTTTTTTTTTTTTTTTTTTTTTTTTTTTTAAGTGTAGCTTGGGTTGTCAGCACCTGCAGCAAGGCAACTTTTGGGCGACAAGCTGCACACGATGTTTACCTCATTACAGTAGCAGTGTGAATTTACTGCCCCCCCCCCCCATTAGCTGCAGGGGTAGCACATGAAACTACAGTGAAGGAAATGCGTATTTGCTCCCCTGCTGATGTTGAACGTTCGCCCCTCACACAGAAATGATCGGTCTAACAATCGAATGTTCGGTGTAACACTGAGAGACAGAATACAACAACAAATTCAGCAGAAATGCGTCTAACAAATGATGACGGATCTGCATGTTCATGAGGGGAAATAAGGATTTGATCCCCTTCACAAAACATGACTTAGTACTTGGTGGCAAATCCCTTGTTGACAATCACAGAGGTCAGACGTTTCCTGGAGTTGGCCCCCAGGTTTGCACACATCTCAGGAGGGATTTTGGCCCACTCCTCTTGGCAGATCCTCTCCAAGTCATTAAGGTTCGGTGACTGACGTTTGGCAACTCGAACTTTCAGCTCCCTCCACAGATTGTCAATCGGATGAAGGGTCTGGAGACTGGCTAGGCCACTCCAGGACCTCAATGTGCTTCTTCTTGAGCCGCTCCTTTGTTGCCTTGGCCGTGTGTTTTGGGTCATTGTCATGCTGGAACACCCATCCGCCACCCATTTTCAATGCCCTGGCTGAGGGAAGAAGGTTCTCACCCAAGATTCGACGGTACATTGCCCCGTCCATCGTCCCTTTGATGCGGTGCAGTTGTCCTGTCCCCTTAGCAGAAAAACACCCCCAGAGCAGAATGTTTCCACCACCATGTTTCACAGTTGGGATGGTGTTCTTGGGGTCATAGGCATCATTCCTCCTTCTCCAAACACAGCGAGTTGAGTTGATGCCAAAGAGCTGGATTTTGGTCTCATCTGACCACAACACACTTCCCACCAGTCCTCCTCTGCATCATTCAGATGTTCAGTGGCAGACTTCAGACGGGCCTGGACATGGGCTTTCTTGAGCAGAGGGACCTTGCGGGCACTGCAGGATTTCAGTCCTTGTCGGCGTAGTGTGTTACCAATTGTTTTCTTGGTGACTGTGGTCCCAGCTGCCTGGAGATCATTGACAAGATCCTCACGTGTAGTTCTGGGATGATTCCTCACTGTTCTCATGATCATTGACACTCCACGAGGTGAGATCTTCCATGGTGCACCCAGACCTAGGGAGACTGACACTTGTTTTGTGTTTCTTCCATTTGTGAATGATTGCACCAACTGTTGTCACCTTCTCACCAAGCTGCTTGGCCATAGTTTGGTAGCCCAGTCCAGCCTTGTGTAGGTCTACCATCTTGTCCCTGACACCCTTGGACAGCTCTTTGGTCTTTGCCACGGTAGAGAGTTTGGAATCTGATGGTTTGATTGCTCCTGTGGACAGGTGTCTTTTATACAGGTAACAAAATGAGATTAGCAGCACTCCCTTTAAGAGACTGCTTCTAATCTCAGCTTGTTACCTGTATGAAAGACACCTGGGAGCCAGAAATCCTGCTGAATGATAGGGGATCAAATCCTTCTTTCCCTCATGAACATGCAGATCAGTCATCATTTGTTAGATGCATTTCTGCTGAATTTGTTGTTGTATTCTGTCTCTCAGTGTTACACACGAACATTCCATTGTTAGACCGATCATTTCTGTGTGAGGGGCGAACATTCCATTGTTAGACCGATCATTTCTGTGTGAGGGGCGAACATTCAACATCAGCCGGGGAGCAAATACACATTTCCTTCACTGTATATCCCCTGCCACTTTCAGCGGGCATAGCGCCTACCAAACACGAGTTTCAAGGTAACAGGGCCAGTCTGCATGCGGTCACGGTGGGCTAGTACAGGAATCAATGCGGTGAAGCAGGCAGTGAGGAGGTGATACATCGCCTGTTCTCCTCCTCTCAAATGCTCTCTGAAGAGCTAGTGTGGATTGCTCCTTATAGATTAAAGCTCACATGAATGAGCCCTTAGGTTCCATTCGCCACGCTGTGAATCTCAGCAGCAGGAGACTGATTCCTGCGGTTGCGTTTGACAGCTGCATACGGATAGCAGTGGACGCTGAGCCCCCACACTGCGACGACAGGCTGTCATCAGCCTCAGCTACCTGCGCCTTTTGGCAGCCACAGCACATGGTCTATAATACAAGTACCATGCCTTCGCTACAAACTATATGCAACATAATTATGAGGAAAAAAACAACAACACAGAACTAGGAAAAAAAACACAAACAACACAGAGCTAGGAAAAAAAAAAAAAAACAACACACTACTAGGAAAAAAAAAAAAAAAACAAACACAGTACGAACGTAGTACTAGGGAAAAAAAAACAACCAACAACACAGAACTAGGAAAATAAAAACAACAACGCAGTACTAGGGAAAAAAACAACAACAACACAGTACGAGGGAAAAAAAAAACCCAACAACACAGAACTAGGAAAAAAAAAAACACACTACTAGGAAAAAAAAAAAAAAAAAAAACAACACAGTAACTAGCCGTACTAGGAAAAAAAAAAAAAAACAACACAGTACTAGGAAAAAAAAAAACCACAGCACTAGAAAAACAAAACAAACAACACAGTACTAGGAAAAAAAAACAACAACACTAGTAAAAAGGAAAAACCCAACACACAGTACTAGGGAAAAAAAAAAAAACCAACACAGTACTAGGAAAAAAAACAAACAACAACACTAGTACTAGGGAAAAAAAACAAACAACACACAGTACTAGGAAAATAAAAAACCCAACACACTACTAGTAAAATAAAAAAAAAAACAACTACAACACAGTACTAGGAAAAAAAAAAACAACAACACAGTACTAGGGAAAAAAAACTAAACAACAACACAGTACTAGGAAAAAAACAACACAGTACTAGGGAAAAAAAACCAACAACAAAACACAGAACTAGGAAAAAAACCCAACACACTACTAGGGAAAAAAAAAAAAAACAAACGCCGTACTAGGAAAAAACAAAAACAACACAGTACTAGGAAAAAAAAAAAACCACACACACTAGTAAAAAAAAACAAACAAACAACACAGTACTAGGAAAAAAAAAAACAAACAACACAGAACTAGGAAAAAACCCAACACACTACTAGTAAAAAAAAAAAACCCAACACAGTACTAGGGAAAAAAAAAACACACACAGTACTAGGAAAAAAAAAACACTACAAACCAACACAGTACTAGGGAAAAAAAAACAACAACAACTAGTAAGAACCTAAGGAAAAATAAAAACAAACAACGCAGTACTAGGGAAAAAAACAAACAACAACACAGTACGAGGGAAAAAAAACCCAACAACACAGAACTAGGAAAAAAAAACAACAACACACTACTAGGAAAATAAAAAAAAAAAAAACAACACGCCGTACTAGGAAAAAAAAAAACACAGCACTAGAAAAAAAAACAAACAACAAAAAACTAGAAAAAAACAAACAACAACAGTACTAAAGTACTAAAAAAAACCCAACAACACAGCACTAAAAAGTACTAAAAAATAAAAAAAAACCAACAACAAAAGTACTAGGAAAAAAACAAACACAAGTACTAGGAAAAAAACAAACAACACAGTACTAGGAAAAAAAAACAAAACAACACAGAAACTAGGAAAATAACCCAACACACTACTACTAGTAAAATAAAAAAACAACAACACAGTACTAGGGAAAAAAACAACACAGTACTAGGGAAAAAAACACCCAACAAAACAGAACTAGGAAAAAAAACAACACACTACTAGTAAATTAAAAAAAAAACAACGCCGTACTAGGAAAAAAACAAAAACAACACAGTACTAGGGAAAAAAAAAACACAGTACTAGGAAAAAAAAAAACAGCACTAAACAAAACAAAACAAACAACACAGTACTAGAAAAAAAAACAACACAGAACTAGGAAAATAACCCAACACACTACTAGTAAAAAAATAAAAAAACCCAACACAGTACTAGGAAAAAAAACAACAACAGGTACTAGAATGTTGAATGCAACCCGGAATTAAATGTGACAAAATCTCTTTAATTATAACAAAAGCCCCCACGTTCTCCCCCAAGGTTGTTCCATAATCTCAGGGACATAGCAGATCGGAGTCTTTTTAGTTTGGTCACACTGAAGTTTGCAGTTTTCTGATATTAAGAGACCGTCTTAAAAAAAAAAAAAAAAAAAAAAAAAAAATCTGTAAAATAAATTTATCAGTTTTACGGCACTTTGAACAATTTTAGGAGGAATATGGCTTCATGGAATGGCAATAAACCCGATCCGTCCAGGATTGTCCATCGTCAGGTAAAGTGCTGGAGACGGGTCATACATTCGGTCAGAGATTGGCGGAGTTCTCGATTCCCATCTCTACATCCAGAGACGACTGTTCCGCTGCCGGCCAGGAAATCCATGGCAGAGAATCGTCCATTGTGGATTGGTTGGATCGGTGTTCCTCGGTCACATGGTCCAGCAGTAATAGACCAACACGATGAACGTTAAGATGGCGACGGACAGCAGCATGTTCTTGCGGTTCTCGTGACGCAGGGATTTCAGCTCTTTCTCTGTGAATAGAATAGGGACGGGCGATTAGTAAGACGATGCGGACAGAGGAATCTTTAAGGCTGGCGGGGTTCCAGTCAGTGCACATGTGATTGCCTCCGGATGTGCGTGAGCACGGGGGGGGGGGTGCAAGATTCTAAAGCCCCCCAAAAAAGTGTCAATTTGCAGTAGGAAGAAGAGGGTTTTGTGTTCCATTAATCATGCTTTAACCCCTCGCCCTCCAGAGGATTTACCCCCCTTCCTGACCAGGGCCAATTTTTTTTTTTGCAACACGGCGTGGCGTTACTTTAACCAACAATTGCGCGGTCATGCAACACTTCACCCAAATTAAATTTATGTCCTTTTTTTTCCCCACAAATAGAGCTTTCTTTCAGTGGTAATTTGATCGCCTCTGCGGTTTCTTATTTTTTGCGCTATTAACCACTTCCCGTCCGGCCCATGTATATAAATGGCCGGACGTTGGCAGTGCAGGGTCGGGCGGCCATTTATAAACGGCCTCCCTTCCCCCTGCTGGGAGCGCGCAGCACCGCGATCCGGTGCCCGCTGTTTCCTCCAGGACACAATGGAACACCGATCGTCGTATGGGACCTCTCTGCGAGGTCCCAATCATGTGATCACTGATTGGCCAATCAGTGATCACATGCAGAGTAGTAAGCAAGATGTCACTTCTGACATCATTGCTTACTGTGTGTGAAATCTGTGAATGATCACCGAGGTCATGTGGTACAGGGCTATTCACAACAGCCTTGTACCATGTGACAAGCTGTGACCAATCACAGCTGACACAGTAGTTCTCAATGGCTGCAAGAATGCAGCCAGAGAGAAGGAGAAATGATTGCTTTTACATCCTTTATGGGTGTTAAAAAGCAATCAGTGTTAAAAAAAAAAAAAAAAAAAATCATCACCCCCCCCCACAAGTAGTACAGTGTCACCATGGTGACACTGTACTGCTAGGGTGACAGTATGTAAAAAAAAATAAATAAAAAAAACCGTGAAAAAAAGTTTAAAAATTATAATTTTTTTTTTTTTTTTTACTAAAAAAGATAATAAATTTTGGCCAAGATTTATGATGAAATATTATTTATTTGCAAAATTTCATAAGAAAAACACTTTTTTTTCAAAATTTTTGAACTTTTTCATTTACATAGCAAAAAAAATAAAAAATCCCAGCGGTGAATAAATACCACCAAAATAAAGCTTTATCTGTCTCAAAAAAATGATAAAGGCCTGGACTGGAAGGGGTTAAAAAAAAAAACAAAAGACCATCAATTTTGTGAAAAGAAAAAACAAAATTTTTAACTTTTTGCTATTAACCAGTTGCCGACCGCAGGTAGCCGAATGACAGCTGCACTGCGGCCGGCCAGTTCTGTGAGGCCGCAATATGACGTCCTCCCAGAACGCACTCTCCTGCGCGCCCCCGATTATCCCTGTGATCGCTGTGTCCTATGGACACAGCTGATCATGTGATGTGGTAAAAGGCCAATGTACAATCCAAACGCACACATTCCTGCGTTACAAATGGCGGTGTGTGTATAAGTGGGTGCTGCAGCGACCGTCGGCTGGAACTGAACAGAATCAGCGAGGGAGATTGTCACCAGCACACCGAGGATCACCAATACGGGTCCAAAGGTTTTAATGAACGATCACATAATTACAGCAAGGCAACGTTTCGGAGTCTCGCAGGACCCCTTCATCAGGCATGTGACGATGAAGGGGTCCTGCGAGACTCCGAAACGTTGCCTTGCTGTAACTATGTGATCGTTCATTAAAACCTTTGGACCCATATTGGTGATCCTCGGTGTGCTGGTGACATTTTTCCGTGGTAAAAGGCCAATCACAGCGGACTTTTATCACGTGATCAGCCGTGTCCAATGACACGCTGATTACCGGGAAATTGCTGGTTCTCGGCTGTACTTTCCTCACGTTGTCAGAGCAGGGATCGGCACCGATCATCAGTGCCCAGCAATGCCGCCCACCTGTGCCCAGTGTCACCCACCAGTGCCGCCCAGCAGTGCCACCTATCAGTTCCGCCCATAAGTGCCACCCACCAGTTCCGCCCACAAGTGCCCATCAGTGCCACCCACCTGTACCCACCAGTGCCATCTATCAGTACCCATCATTAGTGCCACCCACCAGTTCCACCCACCAGTGCCACCTATCAGTACCCATCATCGGTGCCACCCACCTATGCCCAGCAGTGTCACCCACCAGTGCCGCCTTATCAGGACCCATCATCAGTGCCGCCTCATCAACGCACATAAGTGAAGGAGAAAAATTACCTGTTTGCATAATTTTATAATAGAAACAAAAACTTTTTTTTCTTCAAATTTTTTTGCTCTATTTTTTTTGTTTATAGTGCAAAAACTAAAACACCCAGAGGAGAGTAAATACCATCAATAGAAAGCTCTATTTGTGAGAAAAAAATGATAAAAATTTCATATGAGTACAATGTTGCATGACCGCGCAATTGTCATTCAAAGTGCGACAGCGCGGAAAGCTGGCCTGGTAAGGAAGAGGGGATAAGTGACCGGTGGGTGAGGGGTTAAAGGCTAAATTCAACGTTTGCTATAGGTGACCCCTGTATTTAGGGTGTCACATGGCGCAGGTGCTTCCCCTTCACCCAATAATCCGCAGTCAGTCCACTGAATCTTCTTCCAGCTCATACAGAGGTACGGGCGGAGAGCTAGAGGAGGAGTTTACGGGAGCCTGACGTTGCACTCACCATCCACTGATCGTGGGCGCAATGCTTTGGAGGCTTCTGTATTAAAAAGGGGAAAAAAAGCTAAATTTTTTATTTCCTGCAAAACGTTTTTTTTTTTTTTCTCATCGTAAACCCAACCAACAGTACTGGTCACATACCTTTAGAGCAGGGGTATGCAAACTTTCATGCATCTACCTGGACAACATGGAGGAGAAATCAAAGATCCTCGGGAGGAATTGGGGGGAGCGCCAGGCGGCATCAGTTAAAAAAAACAAAAAAAAAAACCCAAAAAAACTATCAAGCTCCCAATAACAAGATGCCATGAAGATACTATGTCATAGTAGTGTCCCCTGCCTCCTTCACCTCACCCCCCCCCCCCTTCCCCACAGCAGTGTCCTCTACCCACCTTCACATCACATACCCCCCAAAGTAGTGTCCTCTACCCCCCTGCACATCACATACCCTCCCCCCCCACACAGTAGTGTTCTCTGCCCCCCTGCACATCACATACCCTCCCCCCCCCCCCACACAGTAGTGTTCTCTGCCCCCCTGCACATCACATACCCCCTCACCCCCCCCCCCCCCCAAAGTAGTGTCCTCTACCCCCCTGCACATCACATACCCTCCCCCACAGTAGTGTTCTCTGCCCCCCCTGCACATCACATAATCACATACCCCCCCCCCCCCCACAGTAGTGTTCTCTGCCCCCCTGCACATCACATACCCCCCCCCCACAGTAGTGTTCTCTGCCCCCCTGCACATCACAACCCCCCCCCCCCCCCCACAGTAGTGTCCTCTGCCCCCCCTTCACATCACATACCCCCTAAAGTAGTGTTCTCTGCCCCCCTGCACATCACATACCCCCCCCACAGTAGTGTTCTCTGCCTCCCTGCACATCACATACCCCCCCCACAGTAGTGTTCTCTGCCCCCTGCACATCACAACCCCCCCCCCCCCCACAGTAGTGTTCTCTGCCCCCCCAGCACATCACATACCCCCCCCCCCCCCCACAGTAGTGTTTCCTCTACCCCCCACACATCACATATCCCCCTAAAGTAGTGTCCTCTACCCCCCTTCACATCACATATCCCCCTAAAGTAGTGTTCTCTGCCACCCTGCACATCACATACCCCCCCCACAGTAGTGTTCTCTGCCTCCCTGCACATCACATACCCCCCCCCCCCACAGTAGTGTTCTCTGCCCCCCTGCACCATCTCATGCCCCTCCCACAGTAGTGTTCTCTGCACATCACATAGCCCTCCCACAGTAGTGTTCTCTGCCACCCTGCACATCACCACCTCCGCAGTAGTGTCCTCTGCTGGATGCATGTGATCAGCACACAGCCAATCAGCACTGCCCAGAGGGTCAGGGGGCATGCAGCCTGATAGGACAATCAGGGGAGAATGAAAACTCCTATAAGCTTTAACCAGTGCTCTGCTAGACACTGATAGAAGTCACAAGACTGCTATATACTGCTGGTGAGAAAAGGTATTTAGCCATTTATATTTACTAAAATATTTAATTTCCATGTTCTGCCGGGGAGAGAGCGGATATAGTGAATGCAGGGTCCGGGGAGAGCGGATATAGTGAATGCAGGGTCTGGGGAGAGACCAGATATAGTGAATGCAGGGTCCGGGAGAGCGGATATAGTGAATGCAGGGTCTGGGGAGACCAGATATAGTGAATGCAGGGTCCAGGGAGAGTGGATATAGTGAATGCGGGGACCGGGGAGAGCGGATATAGTGAATGCAGGGTCCGGGGAGAGCGGATATAGTGAATGCGGGGTCCGGAGAGCGGATATAGTGAATGCGGGGTCCGGGGAGAGCGGATATAGTGAATGCGGGGTCCGGGGAGAGCGGATATAGTGAATGCAGGGTCCGGGAGAGAGCGGATATAGTGAATGCGGGGTCCGGAGAGAGCGGATATAGTGAATGCGGGGTCCGGGGAGTAGCGGATATAGTGAATGCAGGGTCCGGGGAGAGCGGATATAGTGAATGCGGGGTCCGGGGAGAGCGGATATAGTGAATGCGGGGTCCGGGGAGAGCGGATATAGTGAATGCCGGGTCCGGGGTTTAGGAACACTTTAACCCTTATGCTGCTGGCATTAGTAAATACATAGGAAGGTTTATTATATGTACTTGTTTAAAACTTTTTTTTACATTTCAATTACTTCCTGGTTTCTGGCCTAGGACAAAACGATGCTATACATCCCGGAAGTCTTCATGGGAGGAGTAGCTTTCTCAGCTAAGCACACTCTCCAGCTTGCATGCCTGAGGTATGGGCAGATCGATCCCAAGAAGTAAATGCTATGTGAATTATCTGCCCTTACTCAAGATGGCCGTGGCTAAAAATGATAGGTGGGGGGGGGGGGGGGTGATTTCTGACAAAAATAAAGCATGGAGGGCAGATAGCCTTGATTATTAAAAAGTGTGTTTGGCTTGTGGTGCTCAGAGTCAGTGTAGTTCTGCTTTACTCACCATAATGAGACATCTTGTTGGTCAGAGAATTCTTCTCTTTTTCTAAAGATTTTCTACAAAAAAAAAAAAGAAAAAATTCAAATGAGTTTTCCCCCAAAGAAGTAGTGATCTCTCATAGGACGATTATGTGCAAATGTATGGACTCCCTCTCCCCAGTGAATAGCATTCCTCCCCCTCCCTGCTGGGAACAAATCTTCAGCCAACTGTAATGCGCAATACGGCCAACGTACTTCTGATAATTTCATTACCATAATTTAACCACTTCCTGTCTGGTCCATGTATATAAACGGACGGACGGTGGCAGTGCAGGGGCGGGTGGCTGTTTATAAATGTCCTCTCCGCTCCCTGCTTATGCGCGCTCCCCGGGAGCACGCAGTGCGATCCGGTGCCTGCTGTGTCCTCAGAAAACACCGATCGCTGTACGGGACCTCTGTGCGAGGTCCCGATCATGTGATTCCTGATTGACCAATCAGTGATCACATGAAGAGTAGTAAGCAAGATGTCACTTCCTGACATCATTGCTTACTAAGTGTGAAATCTGTGAATGATCACAGAGGTCACATGGTACAGGGCTATTCACAACAGCCTTGTACCATGTGACAAGCTGTCACCAATCACAGCTCACACAGTAGTTCTCAATGGCTGCAGGAATGCAGCCAGAGAGAAGGAGAAATGATTGCTTTTACAGCCTTTATGGGTGTAAAAGCAATCAGTGTAAAAAAAAAAAAAAAAAAAAAAAAAATCACTCCCCACAAGTAGTACAGTGTCACTATGGTGACACTGTACTGCTAGGGTGACAGTATGTTAAAAAAAACAAACATAATAATATAAAAAAAAGTAAAAAAAAAAAAAATTTAGAAAAATTATAATTTTTGGTTATAAACTAATTTGGATTATTACGTTTTTACTAAAAAGATAATTGAATACATTTTGGCCAAGATTTATAATGAAATATTATTTATTTTCAAAATTTTTTTACTTTTTAATTTATATAGCAAAAAATAAATAAAAATCCCAGCAGTGAATAAATGCCACTAAAATAAAGTTTTATCTGTCTCAAAAAAATGCTAAAAAATTCATATGGGTACAGTGTTGCATGACCGCGCAATTGTCATTCAAAGTGTGATAACGCTGAAAGCTGAAAATTGGCCTGGACTGGAAGGGGGGTGGAAGCGTCCGGACTGGAAGGGGGGGTGGAAGCGTCCGGACTGGAAGGGGGGTGGAAGCGTCCGGACTGGAAGGGGGTGGAAGCGTCCGGACTGGAAGGGGGTGGAAGCGTCCGGACTGGAAGGGGGGTAAAAGTGTCCGGACTGGAAGGGGCTAAAAGCGTCCGGACTGGAAGGGGGTGAAAGCGTCCGGACTGGAAGGGGGGGAAAGTGTCCGGACTGGAAGGGGGGGAAAGTGTCCGGACTGGAAGGGGGGGGGGGGAAAGCGTCCGGACTGGAAGGGGGTGAAAGTGTCCGGACTGGAAGGGGGTGAAAGTGTCCGGACTGGAAGGGGGGGAAAGTGTCCGGACTGGAAGGGGGGTAAAAGCGTCCGGACTGGAAGGGGGGTAAAAGCGTCCGGACTGGAAGGGGCTAAAAGCGTCCGGACTGGAAGGGGCTAAAAGCGTCCGGAGTGGAAGGGGGGGAAAGCGTCCGGACAGGAAGGGGGTGAAGGCGTCCGGACTGGAAGGGGGGCAAAGCGTCCGGACAGGAAGGGGGTGAAAGCGTCCGGACTGGAAGGGGGGGGGGAAAGCGTCCGGACTGGAAGGGGGGGGGAAAGCGTCCGGACTGGAAGGGGGGGGGGGAAAGCGTCGGACTGGAAGGGGGGGGAAAGCGTCCGGGACTGGAAGGGGGGGGGGGAAGCGTCCGGACTGGAAGGGGGGGGAAAGCGTCCGGACTGGAAGGGGGGGGAAAGCGTCCGGACTGGAAGGGGGGGGAAAGCGTCCGGACTGGAAGGGGGGTGGAAGCGTCCGGACTGAAAGGGGGGTGGAAGCGTCCGGACTGAAAGGGGGGTGGAAGCGTCCGGACTGGAAGGGGGGTGGAAGCGTCCGGACTGGAAGGGGGGGGGGGAAAGCGTTCGGACTGGAAGGGGGGGAAGTGGAAGCGTCCGGACTGGAAGGGGGGGGGGGGGGGAAAGTGCCCGGACTGGAAGGGGGGTGGAAGCGTCCGGACTGGAAGTGGTTAATACATTCTAAAAGGTGTATTCATTTATTTTTTTTTTAAATATTAGGAAAGATTTTATTGCATCGACCAACTGAATTTAGTCGGCGCACCTTCAGAAAATGAACAATGCCTGGCTGTCTTTGGCTTGAATGCATTCTGAGTCAATGACCTGGGACAATTATGCAGCAAGTGAAGTCACGCCGGGGCGGGGGTGGCGTAGAAAGTACTGAAATCAGTATTACACCCAAAACCAAAATAATTGGTAATATATTGCAGCTTATCAATCATTAAATGCGGTGGCTGCATTAGTTTTCTTTTTTTTTTAGGCTGTCTCCTCTCGGTTTTCACCTGGTGATCTGGCCAGTAACACACCATCAGTATTAAAGCGCCCCCACTCTGAATGAAGGGGCACATCAGCTATGTCAGTCTGGAGGGGGGAAATGTATTAGCAGATTTAAATACACTAACAAATTGAAGCCAAACTCCAGCTCACACTTTACAATCAGTTACAGCAAACAGTTTTCTGTTCCTATTGGGATAAGGGTTTGACATAAATAGAGACAAGCTGATCACTGTAAGCTCCCCTGCCGGTATTAAATGGTTTGTCTCATCCCTCTGTTACATTCTGTTGGAGAGCTTGTTCTTTGGAAAAACAACAGACTTACTAGCTGGATCACCAGCTGAAAATAGAAGAAAGAAAGCCTCAAAAAGAAAACGAATGCAGCCGTCGCATCTAAGAATTGGTAAGCTGCACTATATTAAATGTTTGCTTTTGGATTTAATACCGCTTGAAGCCACTACTCACCATAGCAGCCAGGCAAGCAGCATGTTCTGAAGAGGCAGCCTGCATAGTCCCATGGGCTTCCCATCCTACTCAGATGTAGAATGCTCCTAACAACAGTTGGGGGTGTGGCCATCGCATCATGTAGGTCGGGGGTCATGTGATTATTGTGTCCAGTGTGAGCGCAGAGAGGCACCAGTCCCCGATCACAGCGGTCACTTACCTCCCCTCCTCCGTCAGCTCCATTTTACGTAGCTTGTAGTCAACGTCCTCCAGGCTGTCCCTGCAGGCGGCCAGCCGCTCTTCCATCCCATCTATCTGTAATACAGAGGAGAAGACGCATCAGATTACGGGACAATGTACACCAAGTCACTGCGTGTAATACACTATATTGCCCCAAGTATTGGTCGGCGGCCTTTCCACACACATGACCTTTAATGGCCCCCCAGTCTTAGTCCGTAGGATTCAGTATTGAGTTGGCCCCGCCCTTTCCACACACATGACCTTTAATGGCCCCCAGTCTTAGTCCGTAGGGTTCAATATTGAGTTGGCCCCGCCCTTTCCACACACATGACCTTTAATGGCCCCCAGTCTTAGTCCGTAGGGTTCAATATTGAGTTGGCCCCGCCCTTTCCACACATGACCTTTAATGGCCCCCCAGTCTTACTCCGTAGGGTTCAGTATTGAGTTGGCCCCGCCCTTTGCAGCTATAACAGCTTCAACTCTTCTGGGAAGGCCGTCCACAAGGTTTAGGAGGGTGTCTATGGGAAGGTTGGACCATTCTTCCAGAAGCACATTTGTCAGGTCAGGCACTGATGTCGGGGGAGGAGGCCTGGCTCGCAGTCTACGCTCTAATTCATCCCAAAGGTGTTCTATGGGGTTGAGGTCAGGACTCTGTGCAGGACAGTCAGGTTCCTCCACCCCAAACTGGCTCCTCCATGTCTTTATGGACCTTGCTTTGTGCACTGGTGGGCAGTCATGTTGGAACAGGAAGGGGCCATCCCCAAACTCCTCCCACAAAGTTGGGAACATGAAATTGTCCAAAATGTTGCCTTAAGAATTCCCTTCACTGGAACTAGGGGGCCAAGCCCAACCCCTGAAAAACACCCCCACACCATAATCCCCCCTCTACCAAACTTTACACTTGGCACAATGCAGTCAGGCAAGTACCGTTCTCCTGGCAACTGCCAAACCCAGACATGTCCATCGGATTGCCAGACAGAGAAGAGTGATTGGTCACTCCAGAGAACACGTCTCCACTGCTCTAGAGTCCAGTGGCGGCGTGCTTTACACCATGGCACCCGACGCTTTGCATTGCACTTGATGATGGAAGGCTTGGATGCAGCTGCTCGGCCATGGAAACCCATTCCATGAAGCTCTCTACACACTGTTGTTGGGCTCATATGAAGGCCACACCAAGTTTGGAGGTCTTTAGCTATTGACTCTGCAGACAGTTGGCGACTTCTGCGCACTGTGCGCTTCAGCATGCGCTGACCCCGCCCTGTCATGTGACGTGGCCTACCACTTGGTGGCTGAGTGGCTGTTGTTCCCAGTTGCTTCCACTTTGTTATAATCCCACTAACAGTTGAGCGTGGAATATTTAGTAGCCAGGAAATGTCACGGATGAACTTATTACACAGGTGGCCACCTATCACGGGACCACGCTTGGAGTCACTGAGCTCCTGAGAGCGACCCATTCTTTCACCAATGTTTGTAGAAGCCGTCTGCATGCCTAGGGGCTTGATTGTATACACCTGTGTCCATGGAGGGGATTGGAACACCTGAATCACATGATTGGGAGGGCGGGGCCAATACTCTTGGCAATATAGTGTATGTAGACAGCTAGTGACTAAACAAACTGTCCCAGGGAGTTGGGGTCCCAGGGGGTGACCCAGGTATATGCATTTGCAGGGACCAGACTGGTTATTTGAGACCATAAGGTACGTACAGTTTTAGGGGTTGGTCTGGGATTGTAAAATCGTAGGGACCTGCCTGGGTACTTGAGTACAGGCCCTGGTATGTTCATTCTCAGGGACCAGTCTGGGGAGCCGAGACCATAAGATGCAGTTTTAGGGAGTGGTCCAGGTTTGTGTAGTTGTAGGACCAGCCTAGGTAGTTGAGGCCATGAGGTGCAACTGTAGGGAGTGGCTCAGGCATGTGGGGTTGTAGGGTATGGCCCGGTCACAGACAGTTGAGATCATAAGGTGTAGCCATAGGGAGGGGCCCAGGCTTGTAGGGTGTGGCCCAGGCATGTGGGATTCTAGGGGACAGCTGTCACAGGCAGTTGAGACCATAACGTGGAGCCATAGGGAGTGGCCCAGGCACATGGGGTTGTAGGGGGCGGTCCAGTCATGTGGGGTTCTAGGGGACGGCCCAGTCCCAGAAAGTTGAGACCATAAGGTGTAGCCATAGGGAGTGGCCCAGGAACATGGGGTTGTAGGGGGCGGTCCAGTCATGTGGGATTCTAGGGGAGGGCCAGTCCCGGACAGTTGAGACCATAAGGTGTAGCCATAGGGAGTGCCCCAGGCAAGTGGGGTTGTAGGGAGTGGCCCAAAAATGTGGGGTTGTAGGGGAGGGCCAGTCCCGGACAGTTGAGACCATAAAGTGTAGCCATAGGGAGGGGCCCAGTCATGTGGGGTTGCTGGGAGAGGCCCAGTCATGTGGGGTTCTAGGGGACAGCACAGTCAGTTGAGACCATAAGGTGCAGCCATAGGGAGAGGCCCAGTCATGTGGGGTTTCTAAGGGGCGGCCCAGTCACAGACAGTTGAGACTATAAGGTGCAGCCCTATGGAGGGGCCCAGGTACATGCGTTCGCAGGGACCAGCCTGGGTATTTGAAACCATAGTGTTTGGCTGTAGGAAGGGGCCCAGGTACATGCAGTTGTAGGGGATGGTAAAAAAAAAAAAAAACAATAAAAAAAGGTTGAATGTAGATAAAGCGGTGTGTGATTGGGCGCTCATTCCCACCCAGGCCATAGACTGGGACAGATCAATGCTCAGGACAAGGACACAGAACATCGGCCCTCCATGCGGCCCGGTATCGCCATATTGGGGCACGCTGCATAAACAAACACGTCTGCCTTCCTGTGCAGTGCAATGCGTGTCAACATTTTTTTTATTTAATAAAGTTAAAAAAAAAAAAAAAAAAAAATGTAAACAGTGCAATGTGTTCCAACTCCACTCTGTACTGACCCCTCAGAGCAGCGCCCAGACATGGCGCGGACGTAAAGGCACACAGAGGAATGTGAGCGGCTCTTATTGTTGGCCGAAGCCTGCAATCGCCCGATAGTGGGCGGGAGGAAGATCATGAAACCACACCCCCATTTCTAAATAAATCATCATTAGAGTGCCCCCACCCTGAAGTATAAAGGCAAACCATTATTGTTTAGTGTCGGAGGGGGATGAGCCCCCCCCCGTCAGGTTTTTATTGCCGTCTGTGTCCCCGTTAGGGAGATTCATCATCTATTTGTCTCGGTGGAGAAAAAAAAATCCCACATTTTGGGTTGTCACCAGAGCAGGAATAGAGGGGAAATCATCCAATGGGGACACCCTCACTTTAGATTTCCTCTCACTTCCTGTTGTCGCTATGGGACAGGAAGTGAAGGGAAATCTCCCAAATGGGACACATTCGGCAATAAAATCTTGCCAGTGGCTGGAACCTTCCTCACTATCAAATATGAAAGTTCAAAGGTTTTGCCTTTAGTTTCTGATTGGACGGGTCCAGAGGCAGCAATAGGGGGCGGGAACTGAAACATTTCACATCCCTCGCCCTCCAGGTGCCACTGTAATGTGCCAGCCAATCAGAACGCGTGAAAACGATCAGCTGACCACCGCTTCCGCCAGTGATAGTATTGTCATCAGAACCATTAAAAAGTTCTGGGACTGCAACCAATCAGGTATCGGTAGGCGCTGTCACGTCACGTGGCTGTATTAGCACTTCCTGATTGGCTGTAGTCCCGGGGTATCTGGTTAGTTGCGATAACAGTGAACACTGACTGTACCGGTGCGGTCATTTCCCTCAATACCATCCCGCCACCCCACTCCTTGCTGCAGCCGCCTCCTCATCCCCGGCGTCGGACGGTGTGAAATGTCACCTCTTTGGCTACACTGATCTTCTCCCTCTTCTTCTTCGCCATCCTCCTCTCCTCTCTTCCTGAACACGTCTCCTTCCTGTACTCTCTACGCCTACAGCCCTGGATCATGGGATGCCTGATGCCGCTCCCGCCATCTTTAATGCTGGCATTGCAACGTGGATAAAAGGGTGGCTGCCATCTTTACTGCTGGGAGCGGTAGGGTGGGGAGGCGTCTTTTTTACTGCGGGCTGTTGAGACATAAGTCGCCATCTTTCGTAAAGGCAGCAGGGAAAAGACTGGGGCAGCCATCTTTACTGCAGGCAGGCTTGTTTTGGAGATAGGAGCAGCCATCTTTAGTGAGGGCACAGCTGAAACTACTGCCACTTATTACCTGTAAAAATCACGTCATGCGGTTCAGGATAATAAGTGGGAGGGGCTGTTATATAGAATCTATTTATACAAACGTGTTTCTTGGGGATTTGTGAATGGTTGTCTCCGCTGAGTGGATTTTGTCAGATTCCATTTATTGGTGAACCGAAATGAAAACAGAATGGACAGTTTTTAACCCCTTCCAGTCCGGACACCCCCCCCCCCTTCCCCCCCCCCTTCCAGTCCGGACACTTTCCCCCCCCTTCCAGTCTGAACACTTTCCCCCCCTTCCAGTCCGGACACTTTCCCCCCCTTCCAGTCCGGACACTTTCCCCCCCTTCCAGTCCGGAACTTTCCCCCCCCTTCCAGTCCGGACACTTTCCCCCCCTTCCAGTCCGGACACTTTCCCCCCTTCCAGTCCGGAAACTTTCACTCCATTCCAGTCCCCCCCCCTTCCAGTCTGGAAACTTTCACCCTCTTCCAGTCCAGGCCAATTTTCAGCTTCAGCGCTATCACACTTTGAATGACAATTGCGCGGTCATGCAACACTGTACCCATATGAATTTTTCAGCATTTTTTTGAGACAGATAAAACTTTATTTTGGTGGTTTTTATTCACCGCTGGGATATTTATTTTTTTTTTGCTATGTAATGAAAAAGTCCAAAAATTTTGAAAAAAAAAGTATTTTTCTTATAATATTTTGCAAATAAATAATATTTCATCATAAATCTTGGCCAAACTTTATTCAGTTATCTTTTTAGCAAAAGAAAAAACACAAATTAGTTTATAACCAAAACTTATAATTTTTTTTTTAAAAAATTTTACATTCTTTTTTTTTTTTATATTATTTTTTATGTTTTTTTTAATATTTTGCAAATAAATAATATTTCATCATAAATATTGGCCACACTTTATTCCATTCTCTTTTTAGTAAAAAAACCCCCCCCCGAATTAGTCTATAACCAAAAATTATAATTTTTTAAAATTTCTTTTGACATTTTTATATTATTATTTATGTTGTTTTTTTTCTACATACTGTCACCCTAGCAGTACTACTTGTGGGGGGTGATGAAGATTTTTTTTTTTACACTGATTGCTTTTACACCCATAAAGGCTGTAAAAGCAATCATTTCTCCTTCTCTCTGGCTGCATTCTTGCAGCCATTGAGAAATACTGTGAGAGCTGTGATTGGTCACAGCTTGTCACATGGTACAAGACTGTTGTGAATAGCCCTGTACCATGTGATCTCTGTGATCATTCACAGATTTCACACGTAGTAAGCAATGATGTCAGAAGTGACATCTTGCTTACCACTCTTCATGTGATCACTGATTGGCCAATCAGTGATCACATGATCGGGACCTCGCACAGAGGTCCCGTACCCTGATCGGTGTTCTGCTGTGTCCGGAGGATCACGGTGCTGCACGCTCCAAGTGGTTAAAAATGGATATATTTTTCAAACGTCATTATTTTGTAAAAAAATACACTTTAATGAATAAAAAAAAAAAACCCACAATATACACCCCATTTTTTTTTGTAAAATATGAAAGATATGTTACACCGAATAAATTGATACCCAACATGTCACCCTTTAAACTTCACTCGTGGAATGGCGCCAAAGTACGGAATTTAAAATTCTCCATGGGTGAGGCTTTAAGAATGTCAGGTTTTCGGTCGTGACGGAGGAGGTCTGGTGTGAGAATGATCGCTCTGACATTTGCGGCGATACCTCTCATGTTTAACACTGCTTACATATGTGGGCGTGGCCTATGTATGCATTCCTACTACACACGAGCACGGGGGGGGGGGGGGGGGGGGGGGGCACTTTTTAAGCTTTTTTTAAAAAAAATTTTTACACTGTCTCTGAACAATATTTTTTTTTAATCACTTTTATTCCTATTACAAGGAATGCAAACATCCCCTGTGATAGAAATCAGCATGACGGGTCCTCTTTATGGGGGGGGGGGGGAAGACCCCACATCTCTCCTCTGTGGAAAGCATTGATCTAGTGCAGTGGTCTCCAAATTGTGGTCCTTTCCTCGCTTTTATCTGGCCCTTGGGCCATTATTCCTCCCACTGACACCAATGATGGGCCATTATTCCTCCCACTGACACCAATGATGGGGCACTATTCCTCCACTGACACCAATGATGGGGCACACTATTCCTTGACCACTGACACCAATGATGGGGCACTATTCCTCCCACTGACACCAATGATGGGGCACTATTCCTCCCACTGATACCAATGATGGGGCACTATTCCTCCCACTGATACCAATGATGGGGCACTATTCCTCCCACTGACACCAATGATGGGGCACTATTCCTCCCACTGACACCATGCTGGGGCACTATTCCTCCCACTGACACCAATGATGGGGGCACTATTCCTCCCACTGACACCAATGATGGGGCACTATTCCCCCCACTGACACCAATGATGGGGCACTATTCCTCCCACTGACACCAATGATGGGGCACACTATTCCTCCCAGTGACACCAATGATGGGGCACTATTCCTCCCACTGACACCAATGATGGGACACCACTGATACCAATGATGGGGCACTATTCCTCCCAGTGACACCAATGCTGGGGCACTATTCCTCCCACTGACACCGCTGATGGGGCACTGTTCCTCCCACTGACACTGCTGATGGGGCATTATTCCTCCCACTGACACCAACGATGGGGCACTATTCCTCCCACTGACACCAACTGATGGGGCATTATTCCTCCCACTGACACCAATGATGGGGCACTATTCCTCCCACTGACTCCAATGATGGGACACTATTCCTCCCACTGACACCAATGATGGGACACTATTCCTCCCACTGACACCAATGATGGGACACTATTCCTCCCACTGACATCAATGATGGGCTATTATTCCTCCCACTGACACCAATGATGGGGCACTATTCCTCCCACTGACACCGCTGATGGGCTATTATTCCTCCCACTGACACCAATGATGGGACACTATTCCTCCCACTGACACCGCTGATGGGCTATTATTCCTCCCACTGACACCAATGATGGGGCACTATTCCTCCCACTGGCACCAATGATGGGGCACTATTCCTCCCACTGACACCAATGATGGAGCACTATTCCTCCCACTGACACCAATGATGGGGCACTATTCCTCCCACTGACACCAATGATGGGGCACTATTCCTCCTACCGGCACCAATGATGGGGCACACCTCCCAATGATGGGGCACTATTCCTCCCACTGACACCAATGATGGGGCACTATTCCTCCCACTGACACCAATGATGGGGCACTATTCCTCCCACTGACACCAATGATGGGGCACTATTCCTCCCACTGACACCAATGATGGGGCACTGTTTTGATGCGTTTATGATGCGTTTATGACACGATTTTGATGCATTTTTTATGCGTTTATGATACGGTTTTTTTGCTTTTTTATGCATTTTTGACGCGTTTTTGATCTTTTCATTTCAATCTTTTTTCTTCAACTTAAATAAGGACATGTGCGTTTTGGGTGTGTTTAGGTGCATTCCGGTGCGTTTTTGATGTGTGTTGCGTTTTTCTCCTCCAACTTGTTGCAACAAAACCGCGTCACAAACACATAAATTTCACAGGTCTGCGACTAAAAAGCTGTTTGATTATTTCATCTAATTTCCGTGTATTTTGGTGTGCTGAAAACAAATAAAATATTTGAAAAAACTCCTAGACGTCATGATTTGCCACAAAATGCAAAAAATTGTCTTAAAATTTATCAAATTTGTTTTAATTTTTGGTATTTTTTTTAATATTATGGGTTTTTAACTAAATTTAAAGTCCAAATTACTATTACTTCACATAAGTACATTTAAGATATAAAATGCCAAAAAAACCTTAAAGGGGTTGTCCAAGTTATGTAAAAAAAAAATCTAGCGCTGGAAATCTGATGGTCAGCAATATATACATAAGCTAAGTAAGGTTTAGGGGAAAAAATTTTATTTCCTCATTTCCCTAGTTCTCTTCCGGCCCCTTGTTGTTTGCAGGTAAACAATCTCTGCCCCCCCCCCCCCCCCGTAAAGGGGGTGAATACAAGTGCTGCTCTGAGTGACATGTCTGACTACTGGGATACTCAGCAGCATGCTGTATATGTAATGCAGGCCATAGACGGGGAGAAAACCAGACGTTTTTTTTTTTTTTTTTGCAAAACGAAAATCGACATTACCACTATTGGTAAAAAAAGGTCGGCTGATTTCGTCCCGTCTACGGCCAGTAAATATATAGAATATATGCAGAAGAAGAAGAAATAGAATATGAAGAAGAAGATGAAATAGAATATGAAGAAGAAGAAGAAATAGAATATGAAAGAAGAAGAAGAAGAAATAGAATATGCAGAAGAAGAAGAAGATAGAAAATAGAATATGCAGAAGAAGAAATAGAAATAGAATATGAAGAGGAAGAAGAAATAGAATATGCAGAAGAAGAAGAAATAGAATATGCAGAGGAGAATACGAAAAAAAGAATATGAAGAAGACGAAATAGAATACGAAGAAAAAGAAGAAATAGAATATGAATAAGAAGAAGAAATAGAATATAAAGAAGATGAAATAGAATACGAAGAAAAAGAAGAAATAGAATATGCAGAAGAGTAAGAAATAGAATATGAATAAGAAGATGAAATAGAATATGCAGAAGAAGAATGAAATAGAATATGAAGAAGAAGAG